TTAGAAGAGCATGAAAACAAATATAAAGACAAACATACAAACAAACAAACATTCATACATACATACATACATACATACATACATACATACAAACAAACAAACAAAAACGTACAAACAAACATACAAATATTTTTTCAGCGCAAGTTTCCTATTTACATAAGAGAGAGATGGAAAAAACAATTCTAGTTAGACAACCACTGTGAGGGAAATAATTAATTTCATTTATTTTTCTCTTCTTTCTTCCGTTCTCTTTCTCTCTCTCTCTCTCTCTCTCTCTCTCTCTCTCTCTCTCAGTATCTACTTTTTATCTTACTATATCTATTTTTATCTCCCAATGTGCAACTATGATTAAATATTTTTCCATCCGTACTTCCTCATTAAACCAATTTCATTCCGACATTTCTGCACTTGAACTCTCTCTCCCTCTCATTTAACAGACAATCACCCACATTGTCAGATGTCGAGTACCGAAAACATAATTGGTTGTAGGAAACAGGAGTTTTCCTCGTCGCTGGTCCAACAGTTTGGAATACTTTACCACACCACCTCCGTCAGCCCGGATTAACTCTTCAACAATTCCATGAAGAACTAAAAACTCATCCTTTTATTAATTAAACCACATGATTTAAGCAGCGCCTTTGGGAGGTTTTAAAGTGCGCTAGAATATAAATTCCCTAATAATAATAATACATACGTACCCACATACACAAACATATACAAACTTATTCAAACGAATATATATATATATATATATAATTATATCAGTATATACAAAAATGAAAATTGTTTGTGAATGATTGTATGTATGTATATATGTATGTGTATGTGTGAGTGAGTGTGTGCGTGTGTGTGAACTCAGCAAACTCAGATGTCAATATTTATTGTGTTATGCTTCAAGGGAAAATGTTTAAAAAAATATCTTTTTCCTTTCAAGCTAAAACAACATTTTTGTCTTCTTAATAAAACTATTAATTTTTCATTTTGCACGCCGTAACAAAACCTCGGGTGATTTTTGCTGTCTGGATTTCAAGGAAAACCTCAAAATACACACAAAAACATATTGCTAAAGCTTGCATACAAACATACATACAAACCAGTCAAACATACAAACAAACAGGCAAACACAAACAGCGAAGCAAACAAAAAAACAGGCAAACAAACACAAACAGACAAACAAACAGCAAACGGTTTTTGTAATCTATCCCATGATAATTTATTCCTATTAAAAATATTTTACTTCTTTTTTTATGATAATAAAAATAATAATAATAATAATAATTATTATTATTATTATTATTATTATTGACAGCTTCTTATCAGATCGACTTAACGATGTAAACATATACAAAAATAGACAAAATTTTACGCAATAAATTTTTTAATAATTAATGAAAAACCCTAGAAATATTAACATATTAAATAACAACGAATGAATGAATGAATGAACGAACGAATGAGCAGTATATGTGTCATCAAAATTCGGTAAAATCAGTATTATATCGTGTTAAACAATTGTTAGTCGGCTACTACATTGAATATTATCAGAATTATAAAACGATTGGTTGAACAAACGAACGAACAAATGAATGAATAAATTAGCGAATATAATAATTATAATTATAATAATAACAGAAATAGATCTTAGAAATGGGGCCATCATTAGTGTAGAATGCTACCAGAAAATTTTGATAAGTGGGCCAAAAACAATCGGACATTTTGTATCAGCTGTTTGTATCAATATATGAATGTATGTATGTATGTATGTATGTATGTATGTATGTATGTATGTATGTATGTATGTTTGTGTGTGTCTATGTATTTAAGCATGTATATATGCATGCATATATGTATGTATACATGTTATGTGTCTATGTATGTATGTATATATACATGTACCAGTGTGCTAGTCCAAAAATATGTACACATACAAACGTACACACACACACGCATATACCCAAATACCTTATTTGATGAGTATTCTAACAAGATGAGGGTATTACGTTATCAGTGAAATATCCCATGGCACATCAAAACCAGCTATGTAAACAGACCTCAGTAGGAATCGAAATTTGAGAGAGAGAGAGAGAGAGAGTGAGAGAAAAGGAAAGGAAGATAGACAGAAAAAAAGAAATGAAAGAGGAAAAGAGAGAGAACTATGAAAAGAAGCAGAGAGAAAACAAGGAAGAAACAGAAAGAAAAAGAGAGAGAGAGAGAGAGAGAGAGAGAGAGAGAAGGAAAGGAAGAAGGACAGAAAAAAAGAGATAAAAGAGGAAAAGAGAGAGAACTATGAAAAGAAGCAGAGAGAAAACAAGGAAGAAACAGAAAGAAACAGAAAGAAAGAAAGAGAGAGAGAGAGAGAGAGTTACAACCTTGTCTACTAAGTCAATATACAAAACACATTTTATTTAAATCTCATTCCAGAGATCCTTTCATTTAATAAGGGCATCGATTTCCAACACAGAAATACATCAACACGAACACACGCACATACACACACACACACGCACACGAACACACGCAGGCACATACTCACACGCATACTACACACATACATATGTATATGTATATATCTATAAACTCAAACTTGAAAAACCATTGAAATTGATAAAACATTAGCATCAGTGACGTTCATTTCGTGAATGAATAACTGAATAAACAAAAGAACAAAGAACAGAAAAAAAAACAAACAGACAAACAAAGACAAATAAATAAATAGAATTAATTGCTCAATCAAAGCCAACATCAGTATTCGTTAGGCATTAAGTCAGAAAGAAACCTAGTATAAGTTAACAATACACATTTTACTACCCTATAATTTCTAGATGTATAATAAAAATAGTAATAATGATAATAAATATGAAAATAATAATTATTATTTTTATTTTCAAATGACGTCAAATTCAAGTAGTAATAACACAATGACATTTCAACAATATTACAAATATATATATATATATATAGAGAGAGAGAGAGAGAGAGAGAGAGAGAGAGACAATCAGAAGGAGAGAGAGAAAGAGAGAAAAAATTAGAAAGAAAGAAAAAGAGAGAGAGAAAGAGAGAAGAAGAAAAATTAAACAAAAATATCAGAAAAAATGAATAAAAGAGAACTTTGCAACTGAAAACAGAATACACGATAATTTATTGGATGAAAAAATCAGTAAAAAATGTTCGATACTCCAATATAGGAAGTTTCTTAATGGTTCGGCGTGGAAACATGCACACGTACGCACACGTACACACACAAACACAACACAAACACACATACACATATACACACACACACACACACAAACCAACACACACATAGGCAATCACCAGCCTTGAAACATTTAAAAATAAATGAATGAATTTAGTAGGAATGCAGAATAGACAGAATAGAAGTATTTGTTCATCTTAATCCTATTAACACCTAACAAGATAACGTTAAAAGACACACATACAAACAAACAAATACACAAATAGCAAACATACACTTACACATATAAACAGTAAACATGCATATATATATATATATATATATATATATATATATACAAATAAACATACATGTACATACAAACACACATACATAAAAATGATTATAGATTATAACTTATCACTAAGCACTGGAATCTTTCCTGACTCATTTAAAATAGCCAAAATCATACCAGTATTCAAGAAAGGAAACAAAGATGACATTAACAACTACAGACCCATCTCCATTCTTTTCCCGCTGTCAAAAATTCTTGAAAAACTTTTCTTTAAAAGACTCTCTAATTTCTTCTGCTCCAACAATACTATCTGCAATAACCAATACGGATTCAGACCTAACCACTCAACTGAGCTTGCTATTCTTGACTTCACTCAGCATATACTAAATGAAATGAATAACAAAAATCTTTCTATTGGCATTTTCCTGGACTTATCCAAAGCCTTCGATGTCATCGATCACAAAATACTCCTATCCAAACTACATCATTACGGAGTAAGAGGCACAGCTCACAACTGGATGAGAAGCTATCTTTCATCATGGACACAATATGTTTCCATGGACAACATCAATTCAAAGCACGCTCTTATTCATCACGGGGTGCCACAAGGATCCATACTAGGACCCCTTCTATTTTCTATCTACATAAATGACCTCTGCAATGTTTCGCCCTCAACCAAATGCGTACTGTTCGCAGACGACACCAACCTTCTTTTTACTTCCAACAACCTACCAGATTGCTCTGAACATATCAATCTTGAACTCCAAAAATACTCTAACTGGTTATCCAATAACAAACTAATCATAAATTATTCGAAATGTGCATACATTATTTTTGGCCCAAAAATACTCACCAACCAAGCTCCTAACCTAAACCTATTAGTTAATGGCGTTCCTATAAGCCGCACCCTGTCTACCAAATTTCTTGGAATCACCATCACAGAAAATCTTTCATGGAATTCTCACCTACAAACTACCTCAGACAAAATCAACAAACTCACAGGCATCTTCTACAAAATCAAATATAAACTCTCTCTTTCTGCTCTTCGCACGCTTTATTACACATTCATCTACCCTTATCTAACCTACTGCATCACACTATGGGGAAATAGTCCAAAAAGCCACCTGAATAACCTAATACTTTCCCAAAAAAGATCAATACGTTTAATTTTTAACCTCAAACCCGATTCTCATACTAAACCCTTCTTCCTAGCAAAAAAAATTTTACCAGTTAACTTCATCTGTATTTACTACTTTGCTTTATTCGTTTTTAAATTTATCAACAATCTTCTCCCACCTCACTTTATCAACTTCTACACATTAAGTAACTCCGTTCAATCTACAACCACTAGACACACCCCTCTCTTCTATATCTACAAAACTCGCCTCAAATTAATCCAGACAAGCATAAAAATAACAGGTCCTAAAATTTGGACAGAACTTGTACCTCCCCATCTAAGAGCCATCATAAACCTACAACATTTCAAGTCAAAATTCCGTGCTTTTTTATTGACACTGGATCTCGACTCCA